GAAGGAAAAAAAAATGATTTGCATTCAATTGACGAGAATGCTATGGCATTGTGCATTGTCTATGCCGGGTTTGATTTTCATTTTTTTTATGGCTTAAGCATTCTTCTTTTAAAAACTTTTGATTACACATGCTTTTGTGTTTTTCGATTGCTAGACAATTGATTTAATAATAATGCATGAGTCACAATACTGAAATGAAGAACACCATTTTGGTACCTAGTACTGAACTATTAGTTTAGCCTATATTTTGGTTTTTGGCGGGCCGCCCCTTAGCAGCTAAGATGCTTGCCTTGGTCCCCAAATTGTAGAGAGCCCTTAGAATATTTAATTTTTTAATATACTAGGCCTAATTTTTTTATTTTTTATTTTTTATTTTTTATTTTAGATATGATTCAAATTTTTAAAGTCCAAATTTTAAAATTTTAAATTAATATCTAATTTTGTTATATCTAAAATTATTCTCTACTTGGTTAAGCCTAAATTTTAAAGGATTTCCATAAAATTTACTCCTTTAGTATAATTGGCCTTTTTTATTTTTTATTTTTCTTGAAAAAATTGGATACCAGTCCCTTTTGTGGACTTATTCAGTGATAAGTCCATCAAAAGGAAACTTGTTTAATATTAAATCTATTTTGATCTTCATTGTCTAAAATACCCTCAGTAGTTATATTTAATTAAAATAAATTTGAAAACTAACAACTCTTAAATTTTAGAAGTTTGACTAATATTAAAATTCTCTCTCTCATATCTATTTATATCGATATATAGAATAGGACTATTTAATTTCTTATATATATATATACTAGTAATTGTTCATGCCTAAAGACATTATGTTACTCGTAAAATATTATAAATATTTGTTCATAAATAAAGGCAATATATAATACAATTTTAAAAATACAACGATCAAATTGACATTGTTCAACTTGAATGCAAAACATACATAATCAAACATTTATATAACAAAAGTCATGCTATAACTACTACAATATATTAATTCAAACATCTGAAAAATATAATTATTATTGATCAAACATCCATGATTTCAACATTTTTAATAAAGTTTTGTCTCAAATTTCAAAAAAAAATATAACTAATTATTTTTCTACTAGTTTCTACCTAAAGTTCATAATATTATCTCTGCACCATTTTTTCAATGTGAGTTCGCGTAACTTTTGTGAGAAAATTATCCAAAAGTTTCACATAAATTCCTGTAAAAGTTTCATGCAAAATCATTTTTCATTTGAGTTCAACTTAAATATTTGTAAAATTCAATCGAATTTAATCAAGAATTTATATTTTATACTCAATAGCTAAATTTAGCTCAGTTCAAGTCTTAATCATAATCACGTCAAATCAAGAATTGAATTTAAGTTCGACTCAATTAACACTTTTATCTTAAACCTATAAACTAATTTTTATTTATTCTCGTTCACTGTGACACCATAAATTTTTTTTTAATTTAATTATTTTTTATTATTTTTACATTCAATTTCAATTTTACTTCAACTTAAATACTTGTAAAATTCAAGCAAAGTTAAGTTTAAACAAGATTATATAATTTACACTCGACAATCAAATTTAGTTCAATTTGAATTGTAATCCTACTCATAATCATTTTCGAATCGATAATTAAGTAAAAATGAAATGATTCTTGTAATTTCTAGACAGCAACAAAATTTAGAGGAGAAGTTTCAATCTTTTGATCAATAATCTTAAAATAATCTAAGCCGCAAAAAATTTAAGACAAACAATGCTAGTTCTCTTATTTTATAGATATATCACAAATGACATATATATTATTTGTCTATAATATCATTCAAATATATTATTTTTATTTCAATATGAAATACGACCTATATTATAGTCATTCGACTCATTTTTACGTAAAAAATCTGCATTGAAGGTTCATTTGTTTATTTAAAATTTCTAAAAGGAATCCTTAATTATATAGAATCATAATTAACGGCCTAATTAATACATTAGCGATTAATCTTTATACTAGTCATCATCGGATGTAGAGGGAGAGAGCTAACTGAGAAACGTGTTTATATAGATATATCATAAATTACATATTTATTATTCGCCTATTATATCATTTGAATATTACAGTATTTTTATTTCAGTACGAAATATAACTTATATTATAGTCATTCGACTCATTTTCATGCAAAGAATATGTATTTAAGGTTCATTTGTTTTATTTGAAATTTCTAAAACTAATCCTTATTTATATATAATCATAATTAACGACTTAATTAATGTGTTAGTGATTAATTTTTATATTAGTCGTCACAATATGTGAGAGGGAGAGAGAGCAGACTGAGAGAGACGCTTATATATTTGTGAGATATATTATTCATCTATTATACCATTTAAATATTATAGTATTTTTAGTTCAATACAAAATATGACATATATTATAGTCATTCGACTCATTTTCACGCAAAAAATCTATATTTAAGGTCTATTTATTTATTTAAAATTTTAAAAAATAAACCTTAATTATATAGCATCATAATTAACGACCTAATTAATGTGTTAGCGATTAATTTTTATACTGGTCGTCACATTATATGAGCGAGAGTTGACTGAGAGAGACTTTTGAACTACATGAGCATCAAATAATATGAGAGAGAGAGAGAGAGTTATAAGCGTGGTAAGAGTCTTAGAATTGTAGAAGAAATAAAAGTCTTGTTCAAAAAATTTGGGGGGCGGAGGAGGGATTTTGCATTAGGACCGTTGTATCAATAATCTCCTCAAACGATCTGAGCTACAAAAAATTCAAGATAAACAATCAAGCTACTTATATATATATATATATATATATATAATAAAGTAGAATGAAGTTTGAATCTAAAAGACAAAGAGATGTCCAAATTATTTTGACACAAAACATAAACACATCCAACGAACAATGTAATTTTAACATAAAAGACGATTCAGATCATCTCAAAAATTATAATTTAATGGTCAACAATGAGTATTTAATTTTTCTTTTCCGCCCGATACAGACATTTGTCTTATGCCTCTCCTTCTTATTTCTGCCTCTGTCTCTCTCACGCCTTTCTCTCTCTCACGCCTCTCTCCAAAAGCAAAGTGTCCATGAGTTTTGCGAGCAAGAAGTTCGAGAAACGAAGTGCCCAGAATCAGTGAGAGAGACAAAGTGAACTCTCCAAGTGGGTGAGTTCCATCTCTCAATTTTCAAAGCTTAAATGCTCTCTCAGTTTGTGTTTTCCTTCCAATTCCATTTTTGTGAAGCCAATGTGAGTAGATGAACTTCCATTATTGTGTTTTTGACTTGGTTTTTTGTTTGAAGCTGTCACGTTGATCAGTCCACTATTCTCTTATGCTATTCCATTCAAAGTCATAGATCTGGAGATTTGGGTTTTAAAAGCGATTAGATTAAAAGCGAAAGACAAAATGGAAAAAGAATTTTGGACCTTTCTGATGTGAACTCGATTAGCACTGGCCAAGCAAGTAAGTCCAGCAAATTTCCCTCTCTATCTCTCACATCTCTGTCTCTCTCTTTGTGATATTAGCAGCCCATCTTCTCCTCTCTCTCTCCTTCCCCCCTCTCACTCGCCCATTCTTCTCCTTTCTCCCACATTGTGTTTCCAACCCCAAAAATCCATCTTCAATTGGAACAGCCACCTAGCCCAGCCCCAGCGCCTCCCTCCACCGTCCTTCTCTCATTTCTCTGTTTATCTATTCCAACATTCTCTAACAACCACTACCACCATGTGTTTGACTAAATGTCACAAAGAGCAACGGACACATTGTTGGCGCCACACACAAAAACTCTCACGATACCACCACTAAGGACCACTATGCAACCACCAGTTGGGTGTGAAAGAGTTTGGTTGTGATGCCGTTAACCCCATATAAAATTTCCAACCGAACCCATAAACTCTCTCTTGCTGTGATCTTATTTTCTTTTTCTTACCGTGGAAAACTGGAAAACTAAATGATATTTTAGTAAGTTGGTTCTTTACTTTCCCCTTGCAAGGAATGTTTTGAATTAATTGGAACTATAGGTTGTTGCTGATGTCTTTCTCTCTTTCAAAAACTGATCCCATTGTGATAGTTGAGCTTGACTAGGTGATCAAGGATGCTTTTACTGCCTGTTTACTCATGGCAATAGATTGAACTTCACATTCTTTTATCATAGGAATTCATTTTGGGAAACATTTGCTCCATTTATGTTGCCTGAATACTCTTCTCTGTTTATTTTAATCTTTAGATTCATTTGTAATTTGCAGCTTCGTACAAAACTTTTCAGGGAAATAAGGGCAAAAATGATCCAAATAACTCAACAGTGGGTAGTTTTTTTTTTATGTTGGGATAGTTTTGTCTTTGATGTGGTAGTAATTCCTCACATTTTGAGTGCATAAATTTGTTGGTGGTTTGGACCCCAATGTTACTGATGAGCTTTTGAAAAGCAGATAGACAGAACACACACACATACTCAAAAATGGATCGTGATTATTCATTGAGTTGTCTTCCTTATTTTGTGACCTTGGGGGTTCCAAACCTTTTACAGTAGAAAGAGAACAAGCCTACATGGAGTTTACCACTTGTTTCTATTAGAGTCGCGAGTCTTGGAAACTTTCAGGAAAACAAAGTGCTTAGAAGAAAGAAAAAATTTCCTTTAAATTCTTAGTGCCTAATTTGTTTTTTTTTTAATTCCATAGTTGCATTAAGAGGCGTTAATTCTATTTCTTCTTTTTTCTTTGTTGGGGCGCGGGGGGGGGGGTGTTCGAACGTTGGTGGAGAGGCTTCAAGTGTGTTAGTGTATGCCATGAGATAATGTGTTTGTCATTAGCAATAATGGTGCTATGAGAATATTAATATTTATTGTCATAATCACGATCCATTTTTTTATTGATATTTTTTTTGTTTTAATCCTTGTACAAATATTTGAGTGACTGAATTTGACTATATTTTACTTTTTCAGATTGAATGTTTTGTGTTGTGATCACCACTTGCAACATGTGTAGCAACAGAATATAAGCACGGTGTTCTTTCCGATGTGAACTCAATCAAATCCAAGCAGAAAGAAAGACTGATGGCTTCTCCAAGGTACTCGGTTCCGTTCTTTTTACTTTCTATTATTGTTTCTTTGGCAAGATCAGAGGACGCCCAAGCTCTTTTAGAGTTGAAATATTCATTAGATCCATCAAACTCGCTTCAATGGCAAGGAATAGATGTGTGTAAATGGCGAGGAATCAAAGAATGCCAGCAAGGAAGGGTCACAGAGAAAAAATGCCAGTCCGATGACATCTCCAGCGTCACCGCCACTGCGCCATGGCTTGGTTTTTCATTAGAATAAGTAGATATGCAACAATTATTAGTCATTCGATAAATTTTGTTGTGTTCTATTTTTAAATTTAACTGTCAAATTTTTTTAATATTGATTGTGGGTCTAAATTGATTTAAAATGGCAGAACTAAAAAAAATAAAAATAAATTGTTACTTAAAATATTTGTATGCTATTGAAAGTTTTAGTATTTCATGGTTAGTACTTGATTTTATGTTGCATAATGTCTTCACATTCAAGTTTTGTCCATTTTCTTTAAAAAAAAAAAAAAGAGTGGTGGTCGTGATTTATTATTTGAATTTTTATTTTTTATATAGGTAATATTTTGTTAATCATTTATGTAAAATGTAAATGTATTAAATGATACATTTTAGGCTTTCAACTTAATGTCTGTCCAAGTTTATTGCTTGATTATTTCGTCTTCACAATTAATATTCAGTGTTTGTTCATTTCGTGCATGTATATGTTCAGTGTTTGTTCATTTCGTGCATGTATATGTTCAGTGTTTGATTGTTTGTTTTCAAGAGCAATGGTTTTTTTTTTTTTTAGAATAATTTTAGGCACGGATTATGAAGACAGTTTAGGCTTTTAGCTTAGTAAAAGTCTGAGTTTAATACTTGATTATTTTGTGCCCAAAATCAGTATTCGATGTTTTTTGAATTGCACTGTGCCTTCAAGTATGAGTTATCCCTAATATATATATACTAGTCATAACCCGTGCCTAAAGACACGATAAAATATAAAATTCGAGCGCCCAAAAATTCGATTCCACTATATTAAATTTTTTCAATAAAATATCAAATGATTAAACATATGATAGAAATGAGTGATGTGATATTTTTAGGAGAAAAATATATAAAGGATTAAACATGTGATGGAAATGAGTGATGTGATGTTTTTAAGAGGAAAAATATGTAGGAAATAAAAATTCAAGTTACTATGTTTTTTATTATATATATATATATAGAGAGAGAGAGAGAGAGAGTAACTTTAAAAACAAAAAATAGTATGATTCAAATCCAAAAAATAGTAACATTCAAAAATAAAAAATAATAACATTGAATGTTAATATTTGAATAATAATAATAATAATAGTAACAGGATCAACAAAAAAAATAACATTGAATAATGATATTTCTGAAAAATAGTAGCAAAAAAAAAAACATATTCATCAAAAAAATACTAACATGGAAAAAAAAGTAGTAACGACAGAACAATTAGTAACATGTACACCAACTCGATTCTGGAGGCCTTTCTCAAATTTTTGAAACCTTCAAAGTCACTTTCTCTCTCTTTTCAGTGTACACCACCATAGAATAGTCATGGATTCATGATTAGACAATCTCCTCGATGGTCTCCAAAGTATGAGGTTCAACTCCACCAACACCAACACCACCACAAACTGTCACTGATGTCAACCACTCTACCTCCTCCGGCTCTGAAACCACCTAGTTGGCCAGAAACATAATCCAAGATTCCTTCATCACCTTTTTCACTAGAAGCGTCGATCATCGGCAAAGATATCTGACTAAAGACAACGACGGCTACGAGGAGCAAAGTCACGGAGACTAGGAGAGGCCAAAATTAAATGAAAATCCCAAGAAAGCTTGGCGCAACATAGATAAGAGAGAAGATGACGAGAGATAAAACAAAGGCAAATAAGATGTGGAATTTGAATTTCAAAAGATTTTCTGGATGTCCGAAGGGAGGTCGTGTATTCATCTATAGTTAATAGGCACAGATAATAGTATACATACAAATAAGGGTGCTATGCTTTTGGTTTTGGTTTAATGGAGTCCGTCAAGGAAACAAGCGAGCTAGAGAGAGAGAGAGAGAGAGAGATGTTAAATTTAAATTTGAATTTCAAATTTTACGGAGAAAAAATATTTCATTAAGCGTGAATCAATGATAACGGTATGAGAAACTAATTTAATGTTGAATATTACTTTTAAGTCATTAGAAATGTATTTTGAAGTTTTAAAAAAATAGTGGATTTGACTAATTATTAATAAAATTAAAAAAGAATTTATCTCCAAATAAGTTTTCTTGATAGATTAAATTTATTATAAGTCCCTTAAAAATGACTCAACTTTAATTTTTTCTTATTATTATTATTATTTTGTATTTTAGAGATGATTCAAAATTTTAAGGTTCAAATTTGAATAGCTCAAATCAATATCTAATTTTTTTAGATCCAAAATTACTCATTCGTGTGAGCTTTGATTTAAGTTTTTTAACTCTTTTGAGCTTGTTTATAGTTGTATTCTATTCATTCACATAGAAAATTTATATACAATATTTCTTGTGGTGAAAATCTACAAAATAGGTTTTTTTTTTTCTTAATATAAATTTTTAATCCAAATAAGTTATGCTTAAATTATCTATATTATCAAAGTTTAATACTTCATACGTGCACATAACTCATGGGTAAAGAATGATTCTTTGTTATTTTAATATTATTCTTTTTATGCATATTTTATTATTAAATTATTTGTTTAAAACTTAAATTGATAAAATTTTATTTACTATCAACTAATATTGAATGAATTAACTATATTATCTATTGAAAAAGATTTATTGTTAAAACTTGATCAATATTTTATATTTCAAAAAATAAAAAATAATTATTTTGTGGTGATGCCAAAGAAATTGCATTGTCATAGATCAAGGAGAGTAAAAGCACTAGTGGTCTAGTGGTAGAATAGTACCCTGCCACGGTACAGACCCGGGTTCGATTCCCGGCTGGTGCAATTTTGTTTTTTTGTGGTGATTTTTTGCAAAATTGTTTTTGGCGTTTATAATTCAGCTAATGGTCACTTTACATATGAATATATTCCAAGTTATTTTACAGTCTTTTTCAGTTCATTGATCATGTAGATAGAACAGATTTCAGTTATCTTTTCTCAAAGGTAGAAAACATCGCCTGGCTTTAATGGATATCTTGAGCTTCAACTTTCTTGGCGTCTCAAACAATGTGTCGGTGGCTATTGTATAGATTCCAAAAAGAATGGATACATAGCCAGATAAAGAAGTGAAAGTTTTGAGCACATGTAAACTTTATTACATCAAGAACAAATACAAAGGAAGAACCAATTTTTACAAATCGTTTCAACATATAATGGGCACTCAGAAATTTTTCCGAAGCAGCAGCAACATGAATCGATCTATGTTGAAGTTTGTGATTCAAAACGTTGAGCTTTAGCTTAGCAGACACATTCAATCATGTCTGTTCTGATGAGTCTTATCTCATATAAAAAACAAAAAAATTAAATGTACACAATCTTATCTCATTACCTCTAGGTACAGAAAGACTACGTGCAGCTCCACCGTAACGAAACAAACACCCCAGCTAAAATCGTCAGACATAAATTACCCAAAACTCATAAGAAACTATCTCATTATCCAAGACCCCGAAAGAAAAGATCCCCAGAGTTTTGCCGCCGTCAACTCAGTGTTTTCGCCGCCTGCAAACCAACTTCCTTCCCTTCCTGCCTTCCAACCTGAAAAACTGGCTAGTACGAATGATCCTCTTGCCTTTCACTACAGAAAAGCTGGTACTGACATGGAAATCGATCATAAACAAGATTCTGCCATTTTACAACATCCCGACTCCAAGGTTTCGGGCATCTTTGCATCCAATGCAGGACAACAGTACTTTTGCAATACAGTCCTACAGATGGACTTCCAAATGAAGCAATACGTTAATAATTACATACCTGATTCACTGGATTAAAGAGGCCTGATTTAACGGTTGTGCAGAGTTTGCAAGTGACTATGTGCATCAAGAATTTGCATTGTGACCAAGAATCAGAATTGTGCATTGTTGAGACAATGCTCTATTACAAAAACAAAAATCTTTTTCTTCTCTACAGTCCACAACTTGAGACTATTATTTGACATAGAATTCCTCTCTTACGTTTCTAGTATTAGAAACCAATAAGGTGTGGACCCGTATGTGTTTTCCCCACAAGAATTGCACAAGCAAATCACAGGCACATCGTTAAAATGATATTTTCTCTTCCATTACTGAAAATGCATGTCCTTCCCATACAAGCTTTAATGCAGGAGATTCACTTCTTGAACGAGACTGCAGCTTTAATGCTTCAAACTGTTTGCCTTGGTTCTGTTTTTGCTGCCAATACAACATCATCCAGGAATACTCTCTGTGGAAATTCTTCAGGTACAAGACTTCGATATATCTCAAACTGCTCTTCAGCTTCCTTCTTTCTGTCAAGTAGACTGTATATTACTCCCTGCAACAATTGCAGTGTACATAAATCATCCATTTGATGACTGGCTGTCTGCTGTAAACCCTTTAGAAGACAATGTAAAACATTGGAAATTATAAAATATGCATACAGTTTTCCAGTTCTCTCCATTGGGTGGACAATGGACCATAGATCTATGTCAAAAATCAGAGAAAATTCAAGGAAGCTTCTAGACATTTACATTTTACATATTGATGACCCCGTTTTAGGAAGCTAAACATCAAGGAAAATCTATAAGTGAACATCAAACAGAACCAAGAGTGACTACTGTAATCCTTTTCACCTGACAAAGATAAGGCCGAAAATCCCTAGGGTTCTCATCAATGAGATCTTGAAATTCCTTCAGGCCGCCCTCCAACTCTCCCTGCAAAACAAGAGAAACAGAAAGCTAAAATGAAAAACATTGGATTGTCTGAAAATTAGAATAGGAGCATTGCCACTCCACACATTTTTAAATCCTTTTTTCCCCCTTCTTTGGCTGACATCAGCGCAATTTGTAATGGTTCCCATTCAAAGGATGGATTGCCTTTGAATACATTCTAAGAGCACCGAATCAGTTGAAGTTTTATCAGCCTCTCAATGCCTTAATGGAAAAGCAGATTCCCATATTTGAGTATTTGAAACTGAGTGACTGAGAAAGTCCAAACTATCACCTTTACAACATGCATTTGAGCAATTAGTATTCTTATGCTTCTCTCTTCGGTGACTCTTTTCTCTCGACGAGCAACTTCCAGAGCCCTATTCAACATCTCAAAAACAGCTGAGCCCTCTTGATTCTTGTGCATCACCATTGCCAGACCCTATGAAAAGAACATAATTTTTGGGTAAGCTTCATCATTCTCAAATAGAAAAGATGTGATGCAATCCATAAGATGCCCAAGGAAACACAAATTAAAAAATGTGAAAGATAATGGAATTGGTTTTCGATCAATACAGAGATCCATATAGAATCTTGCATTCTTGTTTTAATTTAATTTGCTATTATTAGTATTTTATATGTCCTTTTAATATTTTTTAGTGTCTGGGGTATTTTTATAATTTCGAAAATTTCTGGAACAGGTCATATTTTTTAGGTCAAATTCTAGTGTTGAATATTCTAAAATTTAAAGTCCTAATTCTAGTTAATTTTAGTTTTCTAATTTTTAGGGAATAGAGTTTTTGGAGTCCTAGAAACTTTGGAATTCTAATCTTTTGGAATTAGGATTACTTAGAACTCTATATAGTTGGTGTTACTGTTAATAAAATAAACAAAAACGGCCAAAAGAAAAAAAGGGCAAAACAGAGATGTATGACTAAGGGAGAGAGAGAGAACGCATGCACAGAGATTCTGTCGGTCAGAAAGCAAGATCAAGGCATAAAATAACAAAACAACCCACTCAGCTGTTAATTAGTACCCCCTTCGTTTCCACGAGGCCTGTCCCTTCAAGCAGTGGGGCCTCAAACACCTAGAGAGAGATATTCAGAAATTTCAGTAATTACATGCTTCTTAAGTTGTGTGGTACAATTCAAACCCTAAGTGTGATTCCTAGTCAGAGATACTGTTCACGTTACTTTTCTCAGCCCCATTACTGTTCAAGGGTATTATTCACAGCCCCTAAATTGTCCCTATTTTATTGTTCAAAGTTGTCAAGCATCAATTTTGGTATCAGAGCCGAAAAATCTTATGTTATGGGCTTAAATATTGACATGAGGATGGAGATACAAGATTTTGATGGAAGGAATGATATTACAATATTCTCTTGTTAGCTTTCTTCTATTGAGGAATAATTTACCAAGCATAATTTTTCAGCCGAGAGAAGAATAAGGTATACCAAGATGAAACTTGTAGGCATAGTAGGGATTGTCGTCAATCAACACATGACAAGAGATGAAAGATAAGTTTCAACAGAAGTATTTGCCCTCAAACAATCATAGCAAGTTGTGCAAACAACTTATTAACTACAACAAGGTAACCTATCTATCACAGAGTATATTCAAACATGTGAAGACCTAATGTTGAAAAATCATACCGTAGAAGAACCTTGCCAAACAATTACTCGATTCAAGAATGGTTTAAGAGTAAATATAAAGGCAAAAAAACTTGGGCAACCACGATACAACGTAGAGCATGCATTCCAGGTGGCACTTGACACGGAGATGTACCTAAATTTTCTTCACCAAGAAAGTACATCAAGGATTTGGATTCTACTATGCAATTAAAGAAGATTCATAAAAAAATAGCTCAAAGCAACAAACGATCCAATAATTCAAGATGAAGGAAATCAAGTAGAAGAATCAACACAATCTCAAGCAACTACACTACTTATTTATCCGAAGGCCAAGATAAAAAGTGAATATCCAAACATTTTTTTTGTTAAGGAGCCTAATAAGATGGAAAATCCAGCAACAAGTATTGAATCAAATGTGCTTTTAGACATAAGTACGTTACTATCTAAGAGCTCTGAAATAGTACTGAAAGTGTTACCCGGTGAAATTGTTCTCATTAATGACTTTTGTTAATTTTAAAGAATTAACACAATATTAGAGAGAAACAGAGAGAGGTTAAAAACTTAACCTAACTCTCATACATCACTTGTACTTATAGTTAACTCACAATAATAAGAATTACACATAATACCCTAACACTATTAATAATTTACACATACTACCCTAATAATCTTAACACTTCCCCTCAAACTGGACTATATATATTATATAATCCCAGCTTGAAACAAATAACTGTAAGGTGTGTACGACTCAATACTTTGGTAAACATATCTGCAAGCTGATCTTCAGATTTCACAAATGGAGTCGTAATCTCTCTAGCTACTATCTTGTCTCGAATGAAGTGACAATCAACCTCAATATGTTTGGTTCTCTCGTGAAACACAGAATTGACAGCGATATGGATAGCTGTCTGGTTGTTACAAAACAACTGTAAAGGAAGTTAACTAGAAACCCAATTTCCTGAAGAAAATGTAGTAGCCAAGTCAACTCACTCATCGTATGTGTCATTGCCTTATACTTAGCCTCAGCACTGGATCTTGCTACCACGGGTTGTTTTTTACTTTTTTATGAGACAACATTACCTCCTAAGAAAGTACAATAACCAGTGGTTGATCTCCGATCAGAAGGAGAACCAGCCCAATCAGAATCTGAGAAACCTTCCACTCTAAGATGTCCATTAGCTCGATATAACAGTCCAAGTCTAGGAGGTCGTTTGAGATATCGCAGAATACGAGTAACTGCCTCCCAATGTGGTACTCTAGGACACCCCATGAATTGACTTACTATACTGACTGCATAGGAAATATTTGATCGAGTAATAGTAAGCTAATTAAGCTTTCCAACCAATCTGCGATATCGACCCGAATTCTCAAATAATGCACCATCGTCCATCAATAATTTCTGATTCGAATCCATAGGAATATCAATTGGTCTACCACCCAACAAACCTGTTTTCTCAAGCATGTCAAGTACATATTTCCTTTGGGATAAACAAATACCCTATTTAGATTGAGCCACCTCAATACCCAAGAAATACCTGAGTTTTTCCAAATCCTTAGTATGAAATCGATCCTGTAAGAATATTTTTAACTTGACAATCCCCTCCGAATCATTCCCAGTAATCACAATATCATCTACATAGACCACCAATAGGACATATCCAGCATCTGTCTGTCTATGAAACACATAATGATCTGTCTGACATCGAAGAAGACCAAACTCTAAAACTGCATCTGAAAACTTACCAAACCATGCCCTAGGTGACTGCTTCAAACTATACAAAGATTTTTTTAACCGACATACACTCTTACCATACTCCCCCTGAGCAATAAACCCAGGTGGCTGCTCCATGTATACACTTCAACCAAGTCACCATGTAAGAAGGCATTCTTGATGTCTAACTGAAACAAGAGTCAATCAAGATTAGCAACCAAAGAAATCAAGATTAGCAACCAAAGAGATCAAGATACGAACAGAGAAAATTTTGGCAACAAAAGAAAAAATCTCCTTATAATCAACACCATAAGTCTGAGTAAAGCCCTTTGCAACAAGTCTGGTTTTGAGACGCTCCACAGAACCATCTGGATGAAATTTAACAGTATACACCCAACGACAGCCAACAGTTTGTTTACCAGGGAGTAAAAGAATGAAATCTCAAGTCTCATTATGATGTAAAGCATCCATCTCTTCCTCCATAGCTTTCTTCCAACCCGAATCAAATAAGGCATCCTGTAAATACTTGGGAATAGATATAGCAGATAATTGTGAAGTAAAACAGGAGAAGACAGGCAACAAAGCATCATATGAAACAAAATGAGAATTGGGATGATTAGTAATACACGAACGAGTACCTTTGCGAAAAACAATAGGTAAAGAGTCTAAATTACCTGATGTACCAGAATCAGAAGGCGGCAAGGAAGACGGTAAGGGCACCTCAGTCGATGGGCAAGGACGGCGAGAGTAGACACGGAAAGGTAAA